CATCTGAATCTTTGTCATTGATGGGTAGTCGACTTCTTATGAAGCCATCTCCTTCCACTATTCTCGGTGTATTCACATTGTTGTGTAGCTTGTGTCAATTGAATCACTGTCTGCACCAGATAGAAACCGACTAGCTGATACTGACTTCATCCCATCTCATCTCGAATCATATACATTCATTCATCCATGCATCCATCAGAAAGCTGACGAACTTGCATCCTCACTGAGATTGTGATCCGTAGGCATTCATTGAGGGAGTAGTGCATCAGCAAAATATCATTTTTACTTCATCATGCTTGTCTTCTCGTCAACTGCGAAATTCTTGGTTCTTCCATAAGCGCGGTTTTCTCATCTGATCGATTACAATCACCACCTTGTCAACATAAGATGACAGTGAAGCATGATAATCCATTGGAGTCCCGAATCACTTAATTTATTAAGCAATCATAGTACATATGAGGAGAATAGTGCATTTGCACACGTTGTGGCACAGTACAAGTAGATTCCATCATACAAGGAGGAAATTCATTTGATGATAAAAGCACACTGTAATGAATTAATACTGCTTCAGTGTTCGATTTCATCACGCACGAAATTCTCCAATCATGGAATGGTGGGTGGTGATACAGACCTGACTGGCAGAAATCAGTGCTTCATTTCGTCAGCACTCAAATCATCACTCGACCACTCTTGTTGTTCACTTTCCTGCTCATAAGTTCTCACTGTATGCACTGACTGTCTGATTGGCAGACTGCCTGACTCACCAACTACTGACTTATATTCATCATGTCTCATAAATACCCATCAGCATATTAAGGCTTCATATATACAATTCATACACAATCAGTGACACAATTGTGCAGAAAACAAGCACGCCTTTTCATCATCACCAGGATAACCAAGTAACAGGTAAATTTGCATCATCACTTCAAATCATACTCACTTCTCTCTCTATCTCTCAGTCTCTTACAGAATAATACCCAAGCAATTTCATGCTGATGAAAAGCACACATTCAACAATCACTTGACTATGAGCATATGTATTTATTGACTTATTTACATGTGCGTGTAATCATCATCCTATTAACACTCTACTCATTCATTCGACAGATTGATCATCCTACCATTGACACAAAAAAACACATAAACACACATACAAACACAGATAGACACACAGACAAACTCTGAATAGACACAAGCATAAACTTATTATTATTATTGTTCCCTTGGGTTCCTAGTGGAACATAGGGCTTCAACTGCACGCCTCCACTTGCTTCTGTCTTGTGCTGTACTTTTCACTTGCGTCCATGTTATTCCATACTGTCTCATCTCCTCCTCACACGATCTCCTCCATGTCACCCTTAGACGTCCCACTCGCCGCTTCCCTTTCAGGTTCCACTCGAGTGCCTGACGCGCGATGTCACTCAATGGCCTCCTCAGCGAGTGTCCAATCCATCTCCACTTTCTCCTGCATATTTGTTGGGCGATTGGTTCCTGTTTCGTTTGTTCCCATAGCTTCTTGTTTGTGATTCTTTCCTGCCATCTAATCTTCAGTATGCAGCGAAGACAGTTGTTGATAAAGGTCTGCAACCTGTTGGAAATATTCTTGGTGACCCGCCAAGTTTCTGATCCGTAAAGTAAAATTGACTTCACGTTTGTATTGAAAATCTGAATTTTGTTGTTGATGGTGAGTGACGAAGATTTCCAGATTGGTTTCAGGTTGATGAATGTGTTTCTCGCCTTCCCGATTCTCGATTTGACATCCTCGTCCGTTCCTGCTGTAGTTGAGACAATGCTCCCTAGATAAGTGAAAGAAGTAACCTCTTTCAAATCCCTCCCATTGATGGTGATTGGCACTGGATGTTGCTGCTGTTGTTGTTGTTGTTGGTTGGTTATTTTTTTGACCTCCGTCTTGTCTATGTTCACTTGGAGTCCTGTCTTTGCTGCTTCTTCGACCAGTTTGTCGGTTATTGCTTGTAAGTCTTCGATTTTGTGTGACATCAAACATAAATCATCCACGCGCGAAATCCAGGTCTTCTAGGTTCTTCACGTCGGTCCAGGATATCCCTGTCTTCTCGTTTCCCACTGTCTGACGCATAATCCAGTCCACCACAATTAGGAATATCATTGGTGATAATAAGCACCCTTGTCTGACTCCTGTGTTTACTCCAAACGCTTCGCTGAGTTTTCCGTTGTGGATCACTTGACATGTGCCGTTGTCGTACAGTTGTTGAATGAGGTTGATAAATATTTGGGGTACGCCGTAGTACTTGAGTAGTTTCCAAATTACTTCGCGGTCAACTCTGTCCACTGAAGGCCTTCTCAAAGTCTATAAAGTTGAGGTAGAGGTTTGATTGCCATTCCATGCTTTGCTCGATGATAATGCGTAGAGTTGCAATTTGGTCAGAACACGATTTGTCTTTCCTGAATCCAGCTTGTTCTGGTCGGAGTTCTGTATCCAGTGCGTCCTTCATTCTCTCCAGGATGATGCGACTCAGGATTTTACTTGGCGTCGACAGGAGCATGATTCCTCGCCAGTTCTTGCAGAGTCCTAGGTCGCCCTTCTTTGGTAGTTTCACCAGGTAACCTTTCCTCCAGTCAGTAGGCACCTTTCCCTCTTTCTAGATCTTTTGCAATAATGGAGTCAGCATATCTGCTGTCGTTTCTGGGTCCGCTTTCAGTGCTTCCGGGGGTATTCCATCTGGTCCAGCTGCTTTTCCAGCTTTCAGAAGGTTGATTGCATTCATGACTTCAGTTTTCGTTGGAGGATTGGTGTCAACTTGCAGTTGTGTACGTGCTGCTGTTGGTATTACTGGACGGGTTTTAGGTGGTGGTCGATTCAAGAGTCCTTTGAAGTGGTCCGCCCATTGTTTAATCTGTCTTTCTTCTTTGGTAATTGGGTTCCCTTGGCTGTCTTTTATAGGTTTCACTTGTGTTGATCTCTTCCCGGATAGAGACTTGGTTATCTGATATAGTGTCCTTAGGTCCCTTTCGCCTGCTGCCTTCTCAGCTTCAGTGGCCAGGTTGTCGTAGAATTGTCTTTTGTCCTTCCTGGCACTCTTCTTCACTTCTTTGTCCAGTGCTGTGTAAGTTGAGCTCAGCGTCTCTTTCGCTTGTTCCTCTTCACATTGAGTCATTTTCTCTTTCACCATTCTCCTCTCATCTATTAGCTTCCAAATGTCCGTTGAGAGCCATTCCTTGTCTTGTTTCTTCTTTCTTCCTAAAACCATTGAACACGTTTCGTTGAAAATTACCTTCAGAGAGTTCCAATAGTCTTCCACGGATGATTTCTCAGTGATGCCACGTAGTGTTTCCTGCTTTGCTCTGACAGTTGCAGTGAAAGTGTTCTTTGTGTTTGTGTCCTTAAGGTTTTGCGTGTTGAACTTGCATTGTGACCTATCCCCAGGTATCCCCGAGGCTTTTAGCTTCACCTTGAAAGTCCATTGTACTAGATAGTGGTCTGAACCCACATCTGCTCCTCTCCTCGATGTTGTGTCCAGTAGGCTCCGTCTCCACTTCCTTGAGATTGAAATGAAGTCTATCTGGTTTTCGGTGTGTCCATCTGGTGAAATCCATGTTGCCTTGTGTATATCCTTGTGTTTGAACACACTGTCACCAATCACCAAATCATTGAAGGCGCAGAAGTCTGAAAAGAGTTCACCATTTTCGTTCATTTCACCGAGGGCCTCACGACCGATGATGAGTTCTCTTCCTGTATTGTCTCCTCCCAGTTTCGCATTCATTTCACCCATCAGGATTTTGATATCGCTCTTTGGGACGTTGTCCATTACTGTTTGTAGTTGACTGTAGAAATCCTCCTTCTTCTCATGTTCTGAGACGTTTGTAGGCGCGTAGCATTGAATGACTGTAACCTTCTTTCCTTTTGAGTTGAACCTGGCTGTAATTATTCTGGAGGAGATTGGTTCCCACTGCATGAGAGCTTTAGCTGTTGGTGACATCATGATGGCTACTCCCTCGGTGTGCTCGTGATCGTCCTCTGGGTGACCGGAGTAGATTATTGTCTCTCCAGTTGACAGTTGGCTCCTTCCACATCCGTTCCATCTGCTCTCGCAGATTCCCAACACTTCTATTTTATATCTCCTCATTTCTGCGGCTACCTGAGCAGCCTTCCCAGCTTCGTACATTGTACGAACATTCCACGTCCCCATCCTTATTTCTGCTTTCATCGAAAGAAGGCACATCGGCTGACTGGCTTCCCGAAGGCTTTCACCAGCCTGCGTCATTTCACTTCCGCGATTCCAGCGAAAAATAAGGTCACTATTTGTAATTTTAGAATTTTGAATATATTTGTGCGTTGAAGTTTTCGTAGCAGTTTGGTTAAGCTTTGGGGGTGGAGTCGCTCGCACCACGCCCCGACCCTCCCTCTTTATCCGGGCTTGGGACCGGCTAGAATACTAGTGACCTAGTAATCTAGGCGAGGTTCAAGCATGAACCTACTGAAGTATACTCTGTGACATGGAAAATTTTGCAAGTGTCCTCCTATCAGTGTGTATGGAGATTTTGGCTGACGGGGACGGGAGTCATGTGTGACGATTGAAAATCCTATCAACGCATTCATGTGCTCACCATCTAGTTGTCGATTCCATATATCGCTTATTCCAGAGGGTGACATCTATACAATTAGGATGTGATATAATGGGCAAATCTTTGACATTTTTACATCACTTAGTTTGTTGTTTACAGAGTCCTCATTCTACTGTCTTTGCTTTAATTTTACTATATTTAAGCATTCACGCCATTCAGGTTAATCTCTGTTCTGCTTAAAAAATCTGAGAAATGTGAATAACTTTTTGATATTCAGCATATTTGTTGCAATTAGCTATTTCTTTCTCACATAACTCACTCTACTAGAAAGACAGAAAACGGCAACTGTAACAAGATCTTACGAAGGAAAATGTTATATTTAATAAAACAAAAAAGAGACAAGCAAACAATGTATTCCCTTCAGCAATATCCCTTGAATTTCCTTGGAATCGAATTCACTTTCCTGCAGCTGAAACAAAATGAAATCAGAAGCGAAGTATAACTGAGTTGAGAATGGACACGTTTCTTGTATAGAAGAAATTATTGTCGGCAACTTGCATCTGACTAACAGTGACACTAATCCTAAGGCAATACTTCCAGTGAAGATTGAAACACAGATTAGGTCTGTACATTTTCAGGTTGATTCTAAGTTAGAATTCCACCTCACAGGAAATCAGCTATCCTGAGCACTACTTAATTTGACGATTTTTTCAAAAGTTGTAACAACCCTGATATTGTGTACAGCAACCAAATGTGATCATGTGACCAGTCAGCCAGTAGGTCAGTCATGAAGTGAATGTAAACTGATTAGTCATCAGGAAATACGAGTGAACAGAAGTTTAGTGTTACTTGTTTCTCAAGGATTCATCTGGCTGATTTCAGCTAACGGTGAAAGCCATCTTCAAGTTCATATTCAATTGTGGAGTTTGTTAAAAATTTAAAGTACACTCAGGATGTAAGTAGGAACTCACTTCTATTATACTGCTAGGCATGTTCCTTCATTTCATCCAGGAGCCAGTTCATTCTATTTTCCAGGGTTTGAACTGGTCGGTCAATCATTTCAATATTTGAACTTACATTTTAAAAATTCAATCCTTTTCATTTCCAATTGTTTTATTTTCTCAACTAGTTCTCCTAAAACAGTGAATATATTGTCAGTGATGCATTCGCACCACTTTCAATGTAATGCCACGACAATGCTCGATCAAATAGCACAGTTCCAGTGTAACTGTTATTCTGAACTCAACAGTGTATATGATAAACCTTTCTGGCTTTATTCCATGATGCATTGATGAAGTCACTGAAGCTTTGTCGGAATAGTTTCGCGTTTTTCGATACTATGAAAATAACACCATCTGAGCAGCAAACTTGACGCTCAAACTTAATTGTCACCAACAGTTTGCAGATTCTAATATTAATGTGACAAGTGATACTGCTGATTTTATTAATAATACAGCCCAATTCGGTATATTAAATACGATGGACTGATAATATAAAAAGATTACTAGACATACAGGCTTCTTTCACCTCTTACGAAAATGAAATTAACTGAGAAATGCATTTATCACTACAACCATGAAACATCAATTTTAATCAACTTGAATGTCCGTGTAAAATTACCTGTGGCTTTGGCAAAATCAGTACGAGCCTTCCAATACGCTCGCGTAATTTCAGCATCATTCAATGAGTCTGGAAGGAATAATGACTCCGTATCAAACTCATAGTCGAATACATACTTGACGATAGTGAACGGAAACACTTCTTACAAATACATTCGATGTGGAATGATATTTGCGTAAGTATTGTGTGCGCCTTGTATTTTCAATTAGTGAGTGAGTTCCGACTTTACCTTTTCATCTGGTAGGTATGTCGTCTTTACCTTCACATGATCTCCAAACTCGAGATCTTCAAGAAATAGTCACTGTCATTTGAAAATGCCATGCAATATTCTGTTAATATTTGTTCATACTTTATTCGGAGTTTGCTTATTGGCTATCAAAATCTCCATTATTTGTAGCATCAAGCTAGTCACCGTGATCTAATTTTGATGATCACATTCTCTATTAGACGTGAAATTCTGAAGATTCTTGTTGTAGAAATGTCATTACTTTCAATCAGAGATCAATCTCATGCAGCTTAGTGATGAATACATTTTTGACTTCAAAATATTTCAAACAGGGTAAAACTGTTCGCTCACCATTTCTAGATATTCCTTTCTCCACACCTCGCAAATAAGCTAAGTAATAATAATACAATTATTTGATGGGATCATGAGAGATAAATTTTCCTAGAAACATCATCAAGTTATGATTACTGTGACAATACGTGTTATATTCCCCGAACTATTCTATTATCAAATTATATTCTACGACAGTGTAAACTATTCCACTTCTACAGTCAGTCATCTTAACTATAATTACTACACCATTATGCTGAGAACCTAGACGCTTGGTCTTCTTTTCTGTCTGTTTTCCAATATATAGCAAAGTGTAAGTCGATTTTGGTTTCACGTCATTCTTACAGTTGAGTGGGAATTATTAAATAGTTGGGAAAATTATCTTCATCAGTCATTTGCGTGTTGACGGTTAATTAAACACGCCTACTTTTCATATATAATCATCACCACACTCATCAAACGGTGTTACATATTAGGCCTGTTCATAGCTTCATTGTACCTTAAAGTACATTGATCAAATTGATGAATATATTTACTCACTTGAAGTACTTCTGTATGCATTAGATGCGACGACTGCTGCCGTTTCCAGCGCTTTAAGGTTAGCTAAGAAATCAGGAAGTGTTGAATGATATTTAAAACGTTATTCAAGAAAGTTCAATAGCATACCCATCATCATACTGAATACAAAATATTGACGATCTGAAAATGTGTCATAATAATTTGATTATTTCTCAACACGTTTCTTCTCACAACACACTGAATATTTTAGTTTTCAAAAGTCTTCTCCACTCCTCATAGAAGCAGTACTGACCCATTGGTGGTAAAACTTGCCTTTTAATGGAGCTTAATGTCAATGTGTGTTACTGATTAGTAAGTAGGGCACTTAACGACTGACTGTAAACACAATGACGAGTGAATTTTCATACTGACAGCTTATTATTCGTGAATGTAGTATGCAATCCAAATTAAATGAATCAATTTACCTTTGAATGTGTTCATTTTTTTATTCCCTTCTATCAAATAATTCTTTATCATTGCAATTTGGACTATAATTTCACAATATCGAAAATTATGATGTGTTTCATTGTGTATTCTTCAACGTGAAGTGATCATATTAGCACAACAGCTTCTGACTGTCAATATTCATCGTTATCCTGTTTATAATGTCCAAATTACCACATGATATTTCCAGTAGTTTACTGATATCAGTAAAACATATACTTTCACCATGTGTAAACTGCATTTATACTGCATCTGTGCCCATCTTCAATGTTGGCTTGACTTTATCCTTTATGGGACAGTAGTTGTTTCCATAGAATATTAAACTTGTATGCAATAATTTGTCAAATCAATGAATGATTAGTCGTGTCAATGGTTTCTCATGTTACAAGTTGTATTTATAAGGACATGCTCAATTTTGAGGAGTGTTTGCATGTTATGGACTGATGTGACACGTCTTACTGATAAGATTTATCAACAGTATATAAATAGCCGTTAGTCATTATAGAAATACAGAATAGCAGGGAGATAGATTTCAAATCGGAGAGAGCAAAGGAATTAGTGTTTCAACAAAATATGTGATACTTGAAAAGAACACAAAGAAACACAATATAAAGGAGAGAAATAGCACAACACGGAAGAGCTGTGCAGATGGTTATTTGAAGATCAGCTGTACGTATTTGGCTAAATAGCGATCATAAATCCCAAATAAGTCTCTTGTCTTCTGCCGTTACACCGATAATTTACTGCGTGAAAAGAATTCTGTGAATTATTTCTGAGTAAACCATAGTGTATAAGGCATGGTTGTTGACACGCACACAAACATTTTACACTAAATAGTAATAAAACCACTTTGCACTTGTTGGTGATAAAATGCAAACAACAGTCTTAATTATCAGAGGTTTCACGACGTTTTGCTCATCAAGATGATCTTTCAGTAGATAGAATTCTGATAGAAATACGCCTATCTAGATTTCGATATTGTGACGGAGGTGCGTTATGTGTCATTACTGAATATGCTGATGACTAATGAATTTGGGCAGACTAAATGTTCGGATGCGTGGAGGCAGGTCTTTCACATATTCAAACAACTCGAGAATTAAGTCATACAGTCAACTAGCTTCTGTATTTGACTGTCATAAAAGGTAGTCAGACATGGTTTATTACGAATAAACATCACCATATTTCAGTGGAATTGAGAATATGCGTATTAATGACTTCAGAGGAACTACTACTCACAAAATCAGGAAAGATATCTAAGCCTAGTTTACAAGTAACAAAGAATGAATATCAAAGTGAAAGAAAACCAACCTTTGTATTTTTTCAAATTGCCTGATGTCTTCGCAAAAAATTTGCCTGCAATTGATACATCACACTGTCACTCAACTTCCAGTTACCCGATGAATTCAACATTATCATAACCAGTTTATTTAAAGATGGATTCAGCTGACGTCAATTCAAATGTCAGCATCACAGTTAAATTGCTTACTTAGTATAAAGCTTTATTAGAAAATGGTATCGGACCATCGATTAAGTGTACTCTCACTCACATACCGATGAGAAGTACTCAGTTTTCGAGCAATTCTAATGACAAAATATCAGGAAATGAATACATGTATGGTGTTTGCCTACAATCGCTGTTTCCCTAAACTAATCTCTGTTATTTCGATAACGCATCGGTGCAAGAATTTTCTCATCATTCTCAATAAAGTGTGGATAACAGTGCTGATGAAAAAATCGCCAAAATTCAGGAAGCCTCAAAATACACACGACCGTGAACATTAACCAGTGAGGCGAACCAATGAAATGTGCAGAACACTCCAATAGAATGTGTTTTTTTCCCTGCAACGCCATCAATTCATGAGATATTCAATTTAAAACTATCTTTCCCGCTTAGTCTGAAGTCACACTCTTGGGTATTTATTTTAAGGAAAAACATCACCGATTCAATGTCTTGTGGTAAATCTTGTGCAGGAATGAAAAGTTTACTGTGGCTTTGCGCACTTCACTGATCACAGAAATGAATATTTACTTTTTCACAAAATATCAAATAACCCACTGCCTTTCTGAAAAACGGAATCATAAAAATATTACCTTCTGCAATATCCAGATTTTTTCGATTTTCCCATTTCTTCGAAATATGCACTTTCATCAGATGGTATAATCGTTTATTAGCTGAAGGAATGAATGAAAATTCACTAAATATAATGATTACTCAAAGGGTTTGTCAAATGCGGACCACGTGATTATTTGAGCTGTGGAATGTTCCTCTAGTAGTATCTATCTAGATGTCTTAGTATGATTCAGTTTAAGGCATACAACAGATTTCATTATAATATCAAATATCAACCACCAGATTCACCTATGCCATGTTTAACACATTGCAAATGTGATCAGTTTTCTGTGGATGAGTAGGACACAAGATGACTTCATATATGCAGGCTGCGAAAATTATCATCAGTTGAAACGACAATGTCATCAATCAATCGACGAATAACCTTGAAATCTTCAGAATATCACTGGAATGTGACTTGTTGTAACATCGGATCTTAGTAACAAATCAATAAACGGAAAAAATAAGAGAACCATCAGCTTTGGTAAGAAACGTCTTAACGGCGTTCAGATTTGTCTTCACGGATTCTCGCTCAAAATGTTTCGGTGTAGAAGTGAGATGTACATGGTTGAAGAGCAAGTGTGATTGGAAATTGAAAAGATGACTTGACTTAAACACCAGCTCAAAATTTTGTGTACATTTTTCACAGAAATGGTCACTTAATTTCAACGAACCTTGGATTTTAAACTTTTAGTTAAGAAAAATCAATCTTACCAAAACTTTTGTGCTGAAAAGCAATGTCTTCTTCCACTGCCTTCCTGTATGCATCTGCAGAGAAAAGAAGCGTTGTTTGGTACATATTCAATTTTCGAAATAGCCAACAATCGACTTTGTGTATTTGTACACTGCTATAGTTTGAAAGTGCGAATTAAGTTGATTTATAAACACCTCTCTCAACAGATATCAGGGATGTTTGTTGCCGCTGTGATCAGTTTGAGGTAAAGAAAGTCAAATCAAACGCGGATCTGATTGCCCAAATGTGAATCATCATCTAACATAGCCTGGAATGGCAGTCAACTGATAACGTAATCCTCACCGAGTTCGGGAAGACTTTTGACAGTGTGGACCACACAGTAGCGTGTTTGCTTTACCAACACTGCTAAGTGCTTCGCACTCTGCTGCATCTGATTCAACAGCCGTTTGTTTTTGTCACATGCAAAATGCCTAACAATGGAGAGTTCATTGAATCATTTTAGGTTAAGACAAAGCCGTTTACTATCACCTATGGTGTTCCATGTACTGTTCTGCATTGAACTATTCTTAACATTGTTGGGAGTGAGCATTTCGACGTTTCACCCAGGAAGTAGAAATTTCATAAGCAGAGAATGAATAAAACCAGTAATTTCATAATGTAACTGAATAAATGTGGACTTATTCAACAATTCGACAAATCATGGAAATAAAACAGAATTATACAATCAGAGTTTCAATGTTGTGTAAATGAAGTTGAGATAATAGTGGATGGTGAGCTATATTCGGGATTTTATCAGTGATGCATGCTGTTTCATTGTATCATGTATGTACTGAATAAGCTAATGTTGAATTGGACATTATAAAGAAAGCATTTGATGGCGGAGATTGTTTCACAACTGAATGTTGATGGCAAATTTAACTATACCTCAATAAATGAATTAGATTACATTCGTATAGACTAGCGGTAACGGCTCCAATTTTAGCCTTGCCAAGATGCATATCTACGGCTACATCTGTCACACATAATCATCGCAAGCTGACGATCATCCCACAAGTGATAAGAAGACAGTTTTGTCTTCAGATTTCAAATGATTTTTTCTCATGTACTCTACCTATTATTTTAGGATTAAATAACCTACCGTTATAATGATACACGAGCGTCTTATCTTCTGCACCAATTGCTGTAAAAATGTGGATAACTTTTGAAAATTATTGGCTGGTACTTAGAAGCATGGTAAGAAGACAGTCAGAAAACGTGGAACTCAGACTGATGGTTTGTCAGATATTAAAAGTACAACAAAGTAAAACAAAACACAGAAGCTTTTTGTTTTTAGACTAGGTGCATGGCAATTTGTTTGGGGAGTTCGATAACTTATCCTTCTGACTAGAATGTTTCGTCATTGAAAAAATTATTGAGAGGTGAATCAACAGAGCTCATTCTACAGATGACCTGATGTAGTCATATTTTATGTTGGAATTCAGTGTTTAATGCTATGCGTATAGAAAAGATGTGTACTGGAGTACTTAGCGAAATGTACATATGAAATTGATTCCTAAACTCGAAGTTTCTCCCTAAATATTCTCAGATTGCTTCTTGTTCGAATTTTCTGCTATTCGCACCTGGATATCACTCTCCGAAATACCAGTTCCGATGATTTATCTGCCCAGTAATTCAATTCGTCGGTCACCCCAACGACTCTTCAATTCGTAATCAAAATGTTTAACTTCATTGAAAATGCATGCCTCTAATCAACACACAGTTCATTTCAAAAACATCAAAGAATCGAATGCGTGGATGACAGGACTTACTTTCGAGAAATTCTTTCGCCCATTTACTTTGATATAAGTGTTCAAGTCTCAGGATTTCTGTTTAAAGTTAAAACACAAAAGATTAGTGCATGCCATAATGCTGGTTGACACAGGTTAATTGTTGAGAGAATTTTAACTAGCAAAATGATGCTGTGCGTATATTTCTTAATTTTTATTCGCGGTTAATCTGTGAAATTCTGCTCTCCCTTCTGCTCGAGTTAACAAAATGCTTTCTAGTTGGTCGCTGGTCTTGCATGTCGAAGGCGTTTTGAGAACTACACTTATTGATTGTGTTATGTATAGACTGTGAGTAACCCTGAACAGTTGACAACACACTTATGTCCGTTTAGTTTATGAATGTTTTATCTAGGCATATTCAGCTTCAAATCACAAGTAGGTGAAATTTCGTGCCCATGATCAGTACTTTGAAACCAATGGATGACGAAAGTTTTGCGTGTTTGAATATTGGCTAATTCAAGATGGTAGAATGAATACCTGTCAAATCACTGTAATTTTCAGGGAACATGCCATTCACGGAACGCCTGACTACTGTTTAGGGTACTGATGAAGTAGGTACTAGAATATATGAGATTTTATAGATTGAACCAGAAACCCTGTAAACTATTTCATATCCAACTTATGACTCATAAACTCAAATGTCGTTCTGCACATGCATCTAATACTTTGTTTATTCATTTTTCTGTCATTCGTTTGAACGTTTGTGTTCAACATAAACATGTAATTGTGTCTATTTTCATCTGTGAGTGTACTCCAACTGCAGTTTCGTAATCATACTCCATTATGCACCATATCTTAATATTCCTCGATTACAATGATTTCCCTTTTCAGATGGTGGTTACACTTTAGTATCCCACTTTCCTCCAACAAAGACAATCCATGCTGTTTGCTAGTTTAGACGCTCGATTTAAATTAGGCTTCATCCACTCACAGAAACACAACACACACATTTAAAACAAACCGGATTCCAGTGCCATCCTTCTACAATTGATGGGGACCATTAGCAGAGGGAAGAATTCTACAGACAACTGCAAGTAGTAATGTACATGATCACAAATAGAGATATCAAAATGCGGAATTGGAAACAAACAAGAAGAGAAGGCGACATTTCGTATGTCTACAGGTTGTGGGTGGAAAAATGAGAATGGTGGACGCTTCACATACTTCTATGCCTTCACTTAGTCGTTCACTGCAGGTAGCAATATAACATTCACAAAATGTCATATGTTTCGTCAATTGGACACACCAAATATAAGACAATACTCATCTCCATCTCAGGAATGTCATGATTCAGCACTCTGGACATAAAATCGAGAAGATAATTAGATACGACATATTGAAAAGTGAAGGAGAATATGTCTTAGAGAAGGGAGACCTCAGAATATTACTTCAGTTTACCACGTCGTCAGCCCAGACGAAACCAACCCAGATGAAGTCAATGAGGCATAGAGAAAGGGATGTTGTCAATAAAAGAGGAGAAACGACGTAAACTCTCAGACAGACGAACATCTAAGAATCATCGAGAAATACAATCAACACCAGGCACAGTACTCCCAGTGAACATCAATCCTCCAAGAAAGTCAGATGTTTCAAATATCTTAATCTATGGGGAGTCTCGAAGGCGATGGAACCAGATGGAATACCTTCGGAAGTACATCACCAGATATACTCACGCCACTGGTGCATAATGTTGCGGTTAAAGGTGGTTTAGATGCTTGCCAGAATAATAGTATAATTTGGCAAACTATGAAATAATACTGACTTGTGCATTTACAAGTTCTGAAGGAAAATCATGCTTCCGCCTAATCCAAACAACATTTTACATCGTGTCATCCTGGGCTGACTGAATGATGCTATGAATGCGAAACTCCTGCAGTAGCAAGGTGGATTTAGGAAAAGCAATTCATAAAGAGATCAAAATGCAACGCCACGCCTCATCATCGAAGAGAGCACACTATTGCAATCAAATATCTACCTCAACTTCATCGACTTTGAAAAGAACTTCGACAACATTGCAAACTATGGAGTGCAGTGCACCAAACAGCTACGTGAATATGGCAAATGTCAAGAGATCCACAACGGAAAGCTCAATGAGGCTGATCGCCGATGACAGTCTTGGTTATGCTCGACTGGGTTGTGTAAAACATCATAATCAGGAAGAGGATGGGCATACTTAGGCGCAACAAGCAGACTCAAGAAAGTTTGAACTACGCCAATGGTTTATGTTCAATGCCACACAAAGTCGAGGATTTGCAGGTGAAGACGAACACGTTGGAAGAAGAAGCAGTCAGCGAAGACACATTTTCAGGTGAGTGTGGAGAAAATAGACGTGTTGGGCACAACTCACCAGTAAGCCAACATCAACGGCAGATATAAGTGGGAAGTCATTTCTCATACGTGTCCAGGCAGCATCGTTTCAACTACACAAAGTGACAAGTTTGAGAACATCGTGGTCAGCTGTGATCGGGAAAGCAGTACTGAATACCACCGCTTCAAATCCTTAGGTGGATTTATTCCAAGCAGTACAGAGTACGTGATCTCGGTACTCGCGCTGATGTCAAATCAATGAGCACACATGAAACAATCACGGACCTACTGCCCAACAAATATGCAAACGGAAACGAAGGTGGATGGTAAATGCAATCAGGACACGGTTGACTGATATCACACGCCAGCTCATTTAGTGCAACATGAAACACACATGAGGAAGTGAGCAGTGGTAATATGGTGGAGATTATGTGGTTTTTAAAATATAGGTTAAATAGGCAGTTATGGAGCCAGCTAGTGACTTTATAGATTTCAAATCATCAAACAGCAGTGACAATTTGAGCAGCAATGTGGTTAGGAAGGTGAGTGGCTGCCTATTGATGGAAAATATTTCTTATCACACCCTACGTAGGCGTTATTTCAAACATTAGAATCAGTCAGTGTTGTTCTCGTACAATAGATTTTATCAAACATAAACCAGAAGGTACAATCCATCTTTGTCAGTTGATGACAAACAAAGAGGATACGTAGACATCCTCAAAGGGACCACAAGTGTGCAGTTTTGATTTATCAGAATGCTTGAGTTATGACATAACCTACTGGTCGAATAAAGACCAGGCGATATATTTTTGACTGATATTTATTTGCAGCCATGTAAAGATCCTGAAAAATTACTTACCTGGTTTTATTATTTCTTCCACTTTCTCAGGATCTAAGTATGTCTCAAGTTCAATCATCCGAACTAAAAGAAACAAACGGATGGGAATAAGTTTCAAGTATGTGGAATACTGAATGATTGACCAAACGTTCTGATAGACTAAATGTTGACAAGCAAACAACGTGAAATTAGGCTTCCTATCTTCGTGTAACTAATTATTCATGAAGTGTGGCTGGCCTCTGTGCATTATCGACACACTTACAAATAAATGCATATATTCGTCGCACAATCTGTCGGCAACCAGTGCCAAGTGACTAGCAGTCTCATCAAAATTACTCTGATAATTGTATTCAACTCATCTCAGCCTGTAATATTCACATGGATGCGAAAAATTCTAGAGATCATCGAATTTCCTGAAACAGATTAGGTACTATTGCTCGCGTTGAAGCACCAGCTTCCCGCTCTACTTTGCACTAACGATTTGCAAGTTGTTACATTCAGTTTACATTACATACATCTACTGAGATGAGAATTATGTCTCCTCGAACTCCAATGGAGACGTGAAGTTGGAAAGGAGATTTTTACAAAGCTTCTCAGTGTTGTCAGTGACTGAATGCCTTGGTTATCCATCAACGAATCAACGCAAGCGATATGCGTAGTAGGAGGAGGTGAACACCGATCATTACAGAACAGTCTATAGTCAAGAGACGACCGTAAAATAATTTTTGGTGAAATAATCACATACATTTATAATTCACAACTTGGCGGTATGAATCTGCGTATGCGTCTAGTGTTGAATTCGGATCATCTGAAATGGAAAAGATATTTCCCTCTATCTACTAGATCAACTCTTTGTAATTTAACCGGTAAAACGTACACACAAAAAATATGCTTTCACTTCATGATGAATCAGAGTGTGGAATAACTGCTTCTTCCTGAAGATGTGCAGTAAAAAAACCAGATAGCTGGCAGATTCAACTATGTCTGAAGTCAACAAACTAACAACAAAAATCTCCATAATCCAAAGTAACACTCATCTCACAATACATTCAACTGCTTAGAAGTTAATCTGCTCTTGCCTTCTCAATTTGTCAGAAGATCCCTACAACTCATGGTGTTATTGCTTCTTCAACAATGCAATGATGTTGTCCTGAGTTTCGATGAAATTCGCTCCATGAATGAATGACTTCAAGCACTCAGCAATAGTGGTAGCAGTGTATGCTGTAGTTCGACGGAAACCGACGCCTCATATTCACAACAGACAATCAGTCGAATACATCAGAATGCCTTTGCAACGATTGCTCACATAAGTGGAGAAAATCTACCACCAGTGGATATTGTAAACTGAGGCATATTACGGTCACAATTAGAAGGTGAGGCGTACACCACAAAAGGTTGTGAGAGATTACTGTGAACGAAAACTAAGCAACAGATAGAATATATCATGCTGGTAAATGGACAACAGATTGGAAATCTGATAAGCAGAAATTAAGCTAACTTTCTGCTGCATAAGTCTTGTCAAGCTTAGTGGAGATATTTCACAAAACCCTCTGCAACTGATGGTAATATTAGTCTGTCAGTAAAAAGCCTATTGCATGGACGAGGCGATCACTGTAACAAACTGTAGCGAACTCTTACAGTAAGACGTAAACTCGTTTTCATCATCTGAAAATAAAATGGAAGACAATTCATCACATGAGATTCAGGTATTTACCGTTAAGAAAGATCACACCAATCACAAACCTCTAAAACTTGCACTGACTGAGTACAAAAGATAGTATAGAAAGGAAAATGCACACGGATCAGCACAAACGGTGATAATCAAATGTGGTGGCTCTCCTGAATCACTGGATTGCCTGGAATTCCACCAAACACAATGCATCTTAAATTCCCTAACATTCTTATTGTCTTAACTAATCACATATATCCTGGATCCGCTAGATGCTCTCACGCATATTTTTAGTTGACTTTCAAGGAAACGAATTAAAATATAACTTGAGAAATTATTCTATGCTTAGGATATAACGGCATTGCGTGACGTGCTATTAAAAGGATCAACATGTGCCTCAACCAACAAAAACCTACACTTAGTCTCGTCATCTCACACGTCTATGTGTCTACGAATATCATGTGAGTCATCGGACAACATCAAACTTAATGACGATAACTGACATCATACAATTCTCAACGAAATCGATCTACATCATGTGGAATGTTTCAATAATGTGTGACACTGGGCAACTGAGTATGCGTCAGTAGTTGAAGTCTCATGAGAGCCAGTAACAACAATGGAATTCACTGCGACAGCAGGCGCGCATTCTGATGCAACTTTATACACATTGATGGTATACTGTACCACTCAATCGCACCCTCGCAGAAAACACAAACAATTTCACTGAACACAGATGCAATGGAACAATTGAGGAAGTCATCGACGTCTGATATTGTCTCCGAGTGATTCACAGTGTCTTTAAGTGAGAGAGTGAGTGAGAAATAGGCCTCGCGCAAATAACACACCATGATGACTGTGAAAAATGCTGTTCACCTGCAAAACACCACAGACTTACATTCGCTATCGTTGTCGTACTCGAAATCTGAAATCAAAACACAGAAATATTCGATTATCTTTGATGAGAGAGGATATTCTTTCAGTAAATACAAATCGAATCATACTGCAGATCGCCGTTTATTCAAATACACTGCTCTACATTACAACTCACTGAAATAAAATAAACTACAGTCCAACATACTCTTCCGTAGTTCACTCAGAAGTATAAACCCGTGAAAATTGGAAATTGTCAAAGCGTCAAATTATTTTATTATTTATTTATTTTATTATAGCTCGGTTCCACACAGTATTTTGGTACAAATATGGAATTTCCAGCATGTGATATACGTAGCCCAAATTAGAAGGCCAGCCATTGCTATCCAGTGTGCGTCGGCCGGGGATCAGTCCTGGACCATGTGCACGATAGGCGAGCGTCCTCATCGTTTTGCCACCGACGCATATATTGATTTGTTTATTAGATATATCACACACTGGAACAGTATTATTTACTGGATGCTATCTTGAACACAATTTAATGTCCCTAATCATATCATTTGTCATATCTATCCACCAATCTTTATACATATACGTTTATATTTATCTATGCTGGTGTTCGTATATGAATCTATACATCTTGATATAAAAATATATATTTAAATATAAATTTATATTATATCTAAATGTCAACCTCGCCTAGTTAACTAGCTCGTTGGTTTTCTGGCCGGTCCCAAGCCCGGATTAAGAAGCAGGGTTGGGCATGGAGCTAGCAACCCCACACCACTTAATCTTTCGAAACGCTAGAGAAACTTCAATACACAGAAAATATAATAAAAAATACAAAAACTTCAAATAAAAACAATCTCATTATTGGCTCAAATCGGAGAGGCTAAATGACCCGGTCCGGTGATAGGCAATCTCCAGGAAGCCAATCACCCAGCTGATGTGCCTTCCCTCGATGTAACCAAGATAAGGAATGGGTACGTGGAATGTTCATACAATGTGCAAGACTGGTAAGGGTGCCCAGGTATCCAAAGAGATGCAAAGATATGGCTTAGAAGTACTGGGTATCTGCGAAAGCATACGGAATGAGTGTGGATTGACAATATTGTCAACAAGAGTCAGTAATCCACTCCAGTCTGATCACTCAGACGACAACCACGAACATAGTGAGGCAGTGGCTATCATGTCACCAGTTGCGTCAAAAGACCTAATTCAGTGGGAAACAATGCCATCCAGGATCATCACAGCAAGATTCGACTTCAAAGGAAGGAAGCTAACAATTATTCAGTGCTGCACACCTACAAACAACGCGGTACATGAGAAGAAGGAGTATTTTCACAGACAACTACAAACAGTGATGGACAACATTCCGAATGACAACATCAAAATCTTCATTAGCGGTATGAATGCAAGCGGAACTGAGAGTAGATAATGCAGGAAGAGAACTCATCATGGGTCGTGAGGCCGTCGCAGAAATGAATGAGAACGGAGAATTATTCACAGACTTCTGGTCTTTCATGGATTTCAGCTGACGTTCATAACACAAACCAAATAGATTTCATATCAATCTCAAGGAAAGGGGGACGCAGCCTGTTGAATACAAAGTCAAGAAAGGGAGCAGATGTGGCCACAGACCGTCATCTAGTTCAATGAACCTTCAAAGTGAAGCTAAAATCCATGAAAACAAATGTAGACAGACCAGAATTGAAGTTCAACACTCAGAAACTGAAAGACCAAGCTACAGGGGATGCCTTCACCAGAGACATCAGATGAAAATCATACACACAGCGGGCCGTCAGTGAAGAAACCTGTATGGAAGAACATTAGAACTCTCTTAAAGCGATATGTGAGCAAACATGTACAACTGTTGTAGGAAGAGGCGAGGCAAGGACTCACTGTCAACGGACACCCATCTGGAAGCTAATCGATAAGAGGAGGATGGTGAAAGAGAAGATGACTCAATGCAAAGATGGACAACAGAAGGAGAAGCTGAGCTCGATGTTCACTGCACTGAATCAAGAAATAGGTGAAGGAGAGCGCTATAAAAGACAAACGGCAATTCTGCAACACACTGGCAACTGAAGCAGAACAGGCAGGTTGCAGACAAAGGAGACATCAAGACACAGTATCAGATAACCAAGTCTTTATTCGGTAAGAGATCAACGGAGATGAATAAGCCATTAAAAGATGCTCATGAGAAACTCGTCATCGAGGAGGCAGAAAAAATCAAACAATGGGCTGATCACTTTAAATGGGATGACTCTTGAATAGACCACCACCGACAACTCGCCCAGAAATACCAGCAAAAGCACACATGGATTGCTAGTGGACACCACTACTCCAACGAAAGAAGTAATCCTGAATGTGATCAAGCTGCTGAACATCGGCCTGAAAGGCAGCAGGACCAGATGGCATTCCTCCCGAAGCACTAAAGACGAGCCCAGAGATTACGACAGATGTTCTCACTCCATTACTACGAAACGTTTGGAAAGAAGGTAAGGTGCCTGGTGATTGGAAGAAGGGCTATCTCATCGAACTTCCAAAGATGGACGACTAACCCCCAACTGTGCAAGAACTGATGTGGAATCATGCTCTTGTTCACAACTAGTAAACTACTAAGTCTCAACATTCTGGAGGGAATAGAGGATGCACTAGATACAGAACTCCACCCGCTAGAACAAGCTTGATTAGGGAAAGGTAAATAATATGGTCATCAAATTGCGACTTCGCGTATCATCATAGAACAAATCATAGAACGGCAGTCAAAACTGTGCCTCAAATTCATCGACTTCGAAAAAGCTTTCCAAAGCGTGGACCGAGAAGTGATTTGGAAACTACTTCAACACTACGGCGTAAAGTACTCAGGCCTTTATCAACCTCATTCAAAGGCTGGCCACATGATAGACCACGTGCAAGGTGATCCACGTGATAAGTGAGGCTTTCGAAGTGCATTCAGGGGAAAGATAAGCTGGCCACCTATTATCACCGATGATATCTTTATTGTGGTGGACTGGATTATGCGTCAGACTGTTGGCAGTGATGAGTCAGGAATGCGCTGGAAAACCAATAGGAAGACTCTAGAAGACCTGGATTTCGCAGATGATATATATCTAATGTCACACATACTCGAGGACTTGCAAACGAAAACCAACACACTGGCTCAAGAGGCTGGCAGCGAAGATAGAACTGTAGGTGAACACGGAGAAGATGGAAGTGATGAAGATAACCACGCACCAATAGCAACAACAACCAGCACCAATCACCATTAACGGGAGAGATTTAACAGAGGTTGCGTCCTTCACTTATATGACCACGAGTCATCTTTTCAACCACTGGCAGTCGGAACGGATGAAGATGTCAAAGTCAGAATCAGAAAGGCAAGATACGCTTTCATCAATCTGAAACCAGTTTGGAAATCTTCCGCACTCAGCATAAGAAACAATCTTCGCATTTTCAACACCAATGTGAATTCAGTTCATCTATACGGTCAGAAACGTGACCAGCGTGTAATGGAAAGGATTTCCAACAGGCTGCAGACTTTCATCAACAGCTGCATTCACTGGCTCCATTGTGAAGATCAAATAGTCAGGAGGAATAAACAACATGAGACTGTGGAAACATATGAACCAAGAGTAGATCGCTCGACGGATATAAAGGAGGAAGTGGAGATGGATTGAGCATGCATTGGGGAGGCCACCAAATGACATTGCACTCTAGGTCCTAGAGTGGAATCCTTATAGGAAGCAACGAGTGAGTGGTCGGTGAGAGGGTTATATGGATGGGATCGTGTCAGTAAGATATGAGAGAGTTTGGGCAATGGTGTTCGGAGCCAAAGAAGACGGATGAAAGCAGAACAAGGCGGAGATGCGTTGTTGAAGCCCTTTTTTCCACTGGGAACTAAAGGGAATAATAATCATAATAACTAAATGCCAGCCTACCTAAATAATCAACATACTATGTAACTATATATCTGTCTGTTTATCCAATTATCTGAATAACTATCTGTCCATTTCTATATCTAACCATCTATTAATATATCCATATATATTTTTCTGCCTATCTATCTAACTAACCATCTATCTATCATTTTATCTATCCATATGTCTATCTACCTATTAGTTCATCAAATTAAACAATGGAGGAAATCATCGACGTCTGATATTGTCTCCGAGTGATTCACAGTGTCTTTAAGTGAGAGAGTGAGTGAGTGAGAAATAGGCCTCTCGCAAATAACACACAATGAAGACTGAAAAATGCTGTTCACCTGCAAAACACCACAGACTTACATTCGCTATCGTTGTCGTACTCGAAATCTGAAATCAAAACACAGAAATATTCGATTATCTTTGATGAGAGAGGATATTCTTTCAGTAAATACAAATCGAATCATACTGCAGATGATCTTTCATTCAAACACATTGCTGCCCAATAAAAGAGTACACTCACATATTCTTTTCTGTAGTTCACTGAGACGCACGAAATCGATTAAATCGCTATCTTAAAGTTTTGGAAACCTTTATGCGTTCAAAAACAATTCGTATTCACACTATACCTTCCTTGGTAAACTTTGTTTTCAACAGTTGGTTTGTAAGGATTAGGTTTGTTTTGACGAGTTGGTCGCGGATTGATATCAGTTAGAGAACAATGAAAACAAGGGAGTACGGGAGAGCAGTTTCATCCTAGATTGGAAATCACATGTGGTTCAAACCCAGAACCTTTCGGTTACAAGACGACATTTTTGATATCCAAACAGATATACTATTACCTGTGTTATTTGATTTTGTTTTCTTCATTGTTATTTCGACCTTCAATATGTCCTTTCAAATTGACCTTACTTTATTTTTCTTACCTCTTAACTCTTCAATAATCTCATATATATTCCTATGACAAGTGTGTATGTGATCAGATCGTTTGAAATGTGTAGCTCAAATAGATTACACGATTCAGATAAATTATATCCCTTCAATGCAAAATTAGAATCGAACGCGACACTTTTGAATTTTGTGAATAATGTATTAAGAATCATTCTTTTCCTAGACAATTTTATAAAATTTCGAAATTCAGTAAACAGTCGTAGCAATGAACATGTTTCTACCTCCTTTTATGTGTGTATATGTATATGTCTTTCTGTGCATAATTCTCACTATTTATATATTCTAGTGAGAAGTCGTGACCATTTAGGTCCATCCAGTCAAGTGTGAGGATTGATATCCAACCGATGACATCGGCTGGTGGTCGCGCTAAATCAAGAATATTTAGAAGTTAGAATTCTCACAGTGGCTGATGACCTGTGTCCTTATGGCTAAATGGTCTGCGAACTTGCCTTGTAACCGAAACGTCCTGGGTTCGAATTCCAGTGGATGAGTAATGTAGATGATTCTCAATCCTGGATGAAACTGGTCTACAATACTTCCTAGTTTTGAATAGTTCTCTAACTGATAACAAACCGCGATCAACGCGTCAAAACAAATCTAATCTTTACAAACCAACTGATGAAAAATATATATATAATTGAGATATCTTTATATCTACATTTGTGTATATATGTTTGTCTGTTTGTAGTTTGTATTTGTCTGTCTCATTACCTCTCTATCTATCTGTACATGGTTGCAATCAGCGAATGTATTCTCACATGTTTCCAGGTACTGGTACTGACTCGCCACACATGTACATTCATAAGTTGGAGAATATGTGCATGAGGAGGGCAATGACCAGTAAGTCTGATGTTTATCAGCACACAATACTAACAGTGCGAAGTTTTGTCATCATATGTCTATTCTAAATGGACAATAGGCTAAAGCATAGAGAAAAAGTTTGAGTAAATCCAGCTGTGGAGACAGTGTATAGTTTAACTTGAGTTGTATAATATTAACTAAATTACCGGAAATACCATGAATATTCAAATGTCTCGCAACTTTTCAGTTAATTCGTTTTAGATTGATACTCACTCTTACTTCACTGATGATTCGATATTCACATTTGTAATGTAATTGGAGATGATTTCGGATTATATAAGGCATCAAAATATATAGTCAAAAAGATTTCACATAAATTGAAGTCAGTTTATTTGAAGGTCATTTGTCCATAGACATTTGTACAGTAGCAATATGTTAGCAGTCATCATATACTTGTTGTGACAAATTAAAAGTCAATCTGAACGAAGAATATTATTTTCAGTAATTTCTCTTCAGGTCCTTACAATTATAAAATATATAATATTTACTGTCGCTACAATAACAGCCAGTTATGCGGTGGATACATTTTTGACGTAGAATAACAGATTAGTTATGGGGTGTAACCTGAAGGTCCTCGGTTCGAATCCCAGTGGGTGCGTACTGCCGATGATTCCCAAACGAAGATGAAACAGCAGCTGTCCAGTACTCCCTGGTTTTCAATGGTTCCCTAACTGATATCAGTCCGTGATCAACTCGTTAAAATAAATAGTCGTAATGGTGTGACAAACGTGCTAGGCTGAAATCGATCACAAAATATTGTAAAGTGGGAGACAATGGTGATTAATCATAATAGATTTGTAGATTGTGGGATAGGAAAATTGACAAGTCAGTTCAAGGTTATAAAAGGTGTCAGGTGAGTGGCTAGTACGAAGTGGTCTGTATTAAACAGGAGGTAGTAAGACTGCAATGAGAGGTTTATAATGTAATGACGAATGTGTGAAATGAAACAGGTGGAGGCATATATTGAGAGAAGAGATAATATCACAAATAATAAGTCCGGATAGTATCAATGGAAAATTCGATAGTGTTGAGAGAATGTTTGCATGAAGGGCATAAATTATGGTGAATAATAATAATAGTAATAATTGTAATAACAATAATAATCAATGTGAAAATTGAAACTATTAGTCCGTATGATAAATTTGTATAAGGCATTTAGAAGACAAATTTCGCAAGATGATATCATAGTTAAATAGGTCATGTAGTTCATAGTAGGCGAAGATTGAAGTCTAATGATTTTGTACACACACTTCAGGCTGTATGTGATGAATCCAAAGTGCTTCCATCACCTACATTAACCTTGAAGTAGAGTTATGTGAAATAATTGTAAAACAGTCATTAATATTGATTTTGTGAGTTGAAATTAATAAGTGTTTCACAATGGATGATACTGGATTTCCATTCAGATTAATCGCATTGGGATTTTCTACATGATTAAGTAGCGATTTTTGAACATGTTCTTTTCGATGACATTGGAACATTCTGTTGGTTCTTTCTATATAGGTGTAACCGCAGCTGCAGGTGGACTTGTAGATACAGTTAGAAGTAGAGTCCTTTAATCGTAGGTACAGGGATTCAAAATGTTCGGCAAGTGAGAAAAAGAGATGCGGCGTAGAATGTGCGTTGGATGGCTGACCGAAATCTTTCAGCCATCAGCTGCATAATCTGGTCACCCTTGACTGGTAGATTATTAAAGATAGCTTTCTTTCCGAGATGTGGTCTTTCTTTACTGTGACATCAGAGACATCATCTCTATGTGTACAGAAAATATTAGATTCACCCTCCAAGAAAAGGCATACAAACAAATAGATGGTGTTGCGATTGGGAGCTCTCTTGGGCCCCTGTTAGCAGATATATTCATGTCAACATTGGAAAAACAAAAGCAAGGTATGCTTGGAGAATTTATGCTATATAAACGTTATGTAGATGATACTCTCATTATTGGTAATAATAGAAAATCTATTGAAAACTTTATTACCCTATTTAATCATATTCATTCAAATATCCGAGTGACTTCCGAACTCGAATCGAATAACAAACTCGGTTTCCTGGATATAACAATGACCAGGAGAGATGATGGAACGCTTCAGCGATCCATTTTCGTAAACAGACATGGAGTGGACAATATCTTCATTTCACCAGTTTTGTTCCTATCCAGTATAAACGTTCCGTAGTGAGCATTATTGAAGTTGCCCAAAATCAAATCACTATTTAACCCTTCATCGTACATTACAAAAGTGTCATCCATGTAACGACAATACATTTCTATTTTTGCTATTTCCTCCTTCAACGGACTATTTTCTAGCTTTGCTAGAAATATGTTCGAGAAAATAGGTCCCAGTGGGGATCCCATGGCTACTCCATCAACCTGTCTGTATATTTCATTATTGAACAAGAACTGAACATTTGTTGTACATTTAACAAGTAGTTGTTTCAGATTACTAATAGGAATATCAGTGCACAATTTCCTTTCTGTAATCTGTTCGCAGGTATAATCGATGGTTTCCACTAGAGGCACATTAGTGAATATAAATGAAACATCAAGTGATGCCATGTATTTGCCAGTTACGTTCAATTTTTCAATCTTGTCAATAAATTGAAACGTATCCTTGACCCTATGCTTCACCAACTCGTCATGCAAGGGTTGAATTAGCTGTACCAGCCACTTTGATGTCTCGTGATAAGGTGAATGAGAAATGTCTAGTATGAGACGTAGAGGCACTCCTGATTTATGCACTTTCGGTAGACCATACATGCGTGAGATTGTGCACCCTGTGGTTTTTATGTTTTTGAAGGTTTTTGGCGATATATAAATTTTACCTTTAAAATCGTTCAATAAGTTTGTTATTTCTCTTTCTACTTCCTCCATTTGATCTTTCATTACTTTCAGCTTCTGAAACTTGCTGCCATCATCTAGTTTGGAGTTCATCTTGTTAATGTAGTCCTGCATATCCATAATTACTCTCCCCGGTCCCTTGTCCAGTCTGGTAATAACTATGTTTTCATTTCGTCTTAGTCTTTTAACAGTCTCTCTATGCTATTTTGTGAGTATACTATGAGGCTTATTCTTATCCTTCTGTCTATACTGATAGCAACAGTCTACCTGGGTTGATTTGAATCTTTCTACGTCCTCATCAGAGGAGGTGACCAAGTCCCCTGTTTGTATATATAGGTTCTCGGACTGTTCAACAGTGTCAATCTGACTAGCCTCTGTACGAAAATCGCAAAACTTAGGTCCTAGAGATAACGCTTTAAGTTGTAGTTTGTCAAGAGTCACGCTAGAAAAGTTATGGACGTACCTTTCTGTATTAGCAAGAAATCTACTTTCGGGAGATCGGCTTTCTAAGCCGTTCGTTTTTTTTTGAGGAATTAGATTCGGAGATTTCTTCGACATATTCCATAAACTGCAGTCTCATATCCACTGGAAAGTCGAGAAGTATATAATTCCTTTGTGATATATTTAATTCCATTTGTGTGATATCAGACTGTATTGATTCGAGCTAAGTGCATATCGTTTTAAAGCCATTATACTTTGTGGTATTCTGTTTCTACGTAATGATTTCCAGTGAAGTTTGGGATATCGATTCAGGGAGCCGTACGTTGAACTTCAGGAAATCACTGAGTTCCATTAACGAAACAAGGTGCAATCCAAAATTGGATTGATGATTCTTCTTATCACCAAGATTGCTTCTTCTCCCTAACCCTCTTGTTTGTTTTTCCTTTTTCCTTTGCGTTTCAATTACAATGATTACTATGAATATTATTACTATTATGACAATTATTATTTATTATTCGCCATAATTTATGCCCTTCATGCAATCATTCTCTCGATACTATCGAATTTTCCATTTATACTATCCGGACTTATTATTAGTGATATTATCTCTTCTCTCAATATATGCCTCCACCTGTTTCATTTCACACATTCCTTATTTCATTATGAACCTCTCATTGCAGTCTTACTATCTCCTGTTTAATACAGACCACTTCGTACTAGCCACTCACCTGACACCTTTTATAACCTTGAACTGACTTGTCAATTTTCCTACCCCACACTCTACAAATCTATTATGACTAATCACCACCATTGTCTCCAATTTACAATATTTTGTAATCGATTTCAGCCTAGCACGTTTGTCACACAAATACGACTACTTATTTTGACACCCCATAACTAATCTGTTATTCTACGTCAAAAATGTATCCACCGCATAACAGGCTGTTATTGTAACGACAGTAAATATTATATTTTTTAATTGTAAGAACCTGAAGAGAAATTATTGAAAAGAATATTCTTCGTGAATATGGGATATTTCACATTATTAAATCTTGTAATGAGTGTGTGTTATTTGTCATATGGAAAGCGCGTCAATTCACATGTGATAAACATGATAATACAAATATACTTTTTCACAAATGATGATACATTTTTAAAGGTCATAGACGTTCATAGAGGTTTTTGTTGTTTCTTCATCTGTCTTGCTTCATTATAGTTTGTCATACAGGTGATAAGTTCATCCCTTCCTTCCTATTTACTGCATTCGATGTGGTTAAAATGTGCAAGGCTTCAGAGGTCAACCTTTCTTTATGTGAATGAAATCCTTTTCCAAGAATTTCGATATTGTCGAAATCAATCTTATGTCTGTTTTCTATCGCATGCATTGCTATTGCCGATCCTTTCTCGAAACTTTTTAATTCAACTTGATTTCTGGGTGATCGAATGCGGTATATGAAGGAAGGGATAGAAATATAACCTGTATGGCAAACTTCAATTAAGCAAGACAGATGAAAAACAACAAAAACATCACTGAACCTTCACGACCTTTAAAGATATATTATATACATGTGAATTGACGTGTTTTCCATATGACAAATAACACACTCAAAGAGAAAAAAATATATACAATAACAATTTGAAATCAATCATTACAAATTAATTATGACTGCTAACATATTTCTATTGGTACAAATGTCTATGGACAAATGACCTTCAAATAAACTGACTTCAGTTTATGTAAAAAACGTTTTTGACTTTATGTTTTGATGCCTTATAAAATCCGAATAATTCTGATGAAGAAGCTGTTGCTTACACATCGAAACTTTCAAAAGAAACCTTGGTTTCATTTTTCCTTAAACACACTCGGATTATTTTCAATAATTTTTAATGCATAACAAATAAATTTGAGAAATTTTGTCCCATAAAATAAAACTACAAAAAACAAAAGAATAATATTTTGAAAATTTATATAAAGGGATTAACAGCCAACTTACTTTCATTACTTGCATTGTTATTAGACAATAGGAGTTGAAGGCAAAGTGATGCCTTCAATATCACATTTGTCATGATTGGAAATCTCTCGTTAGTGTCTGTTATGAGTATTTTCTCCTGCGAAATATTTTTATGACTAAATCTCTCACACTTGACCTTATTATAGTTATATTTGAACACACATTATGTATGTATATGGTGCACATATGTGTATCTCATTTTTGTGTTCACCTATCTAAAGATGCAGCTATATTTGTCAAGTAACACGGCATACTACGTAGCATATAAAATCAGTCAGTAGTTCATTGGTTACAGAAAAAAACAACAGTCACTGTTGCTCTCCATTTCATCATCCATGTGAAGGCGAATCAATTATTCCTTCCTCATAAAATAAACTGATACACATTTCAAATTTATTAGATTTCTCAAGGATTAGTTTATACGGAGTAAGTTGATTCGCTTCAAGTTTCACCATGGATAGATAGATTAGAGTTAGAGGACCAATGAAGAACACCAGGATGTACTGGACATCTATTTCCTCTCCCTAGTTTGGGACTAATCAGCAGTACTCCCTCACTGGAGTTCAGACCCAGGAACTTCTGAATACAAAGCAAGATTACAGACCATTCAGCCACAAGAATCCGACTCAATGGTCACTGCAAGAATTCTAAATTGCACAATCTCCGGTGGATTCGAACATTTGAAGTTGGTTATCAGTGCTTCACTGACTGATATCGATCCATCGTCAAACTTGAAACTAGTGCAGATTTGTTTTATTTTATACACATGGCAATCATTTCACTTCAAATTTGCGATACATAATGGATCTATTGAAAAATGTCGGTTTAATAGGGATCTAATTCCATAATTATTTGGCTCATTATATGTGTTCATTTTATTCTGTTTCATAGGCTGTTTAATCTCAGCTATAATTCCTGTATTCTACTAAGTTGAAATACGAAGATTGACTCATAGTGCATATAGTGAATTGACCAGTAGATATTACTGAATCAGAAACATTTCACAAAACTCTCTCTCAGCTTGAAAGCGATCGTCTAATAAGGAAATAGATAATTTCACATATTGCTTACATTTAACACTAATGTCTGATAACTCAGTAAATGCATAATTTACTACAATTTCAATTAGTATAATAGCGAAAAGTATTCAGAAGTGAAAGTATTACAGCGAAGATCATGTTCTACATCTAAACATGATTTCAAGTGTTGCATTTCTGGAAATTTTGTGAGCTAATTTCTTTTAACAAACTAGACGCTCAAGAAATAATTCATTGCTGTTAAGTGACTGACTACAGGAGGGATTTCCTCAGCTGCTGATAAGAAAAGGTAACCAGCAAGGTCCACCCAGGAGATGTTAGGAAAGGTATTTAGATGTTAAATTCGCTGATAGTGACGATAAATCGCGAAACGACAGAAAGTAGAATTTATGGGTAATTAGATTTCACCAAAATAGTTAGAGGGTTTCACACTCCTTCTTACCAGGAACTTAAATGTCTTGGTTATCATCTACCATGAGATCACAGATGTGTTCCGCTAATGAGAGTAGAGCGACACGGTTGGCGAGCCCACATATTTTTCTATGATTCTCTAACTAACGTCAATAAGTGACAAAAGCTTCCTCTGGATTAAATATAATTTCAAACTTTTTTGTTGCGTATATGAATTTTGACAAAACAATTAGAAAAAGGTGATGAATTTGAATTGTGTAATGTATTGACGCACAGTTTGATTAGACATACACGTGTCCTAGGAATATATAGGGAAGATAATAAGGTGATAAAAGTGAAAGACTTATGGTTTTACTGTTACCTTGAGTTGCAAATGGAACATATGGCTTCACCAGCACATATCCACTTCAACGTGCTATCTGTGACCCTCTTTATGTGGTCCCATGATAGCTCATTATCACCGTCGGACACAAGCTTAACTCGTCGTTTCCATGACTGTTTATTTGTATAACCTGATAATTTTTCTTATGAAGCCCAATGCAATGACTTCTGTTTAAATTGGTGTTTTAATTGTATTAAAAATTTGCAGGAGTCCCAGCTTGTGTATATACCTTAATTATGTGTAGTGTATACAGTAATTTCAATATTTAGGCGACAAATCGTTTGCAAAAGAAACTTTACCTCTTCATCCAAGATTGATCGCGAACTGTTTACAGTTAGAGGATCATTGGAAACCAACACGGAACACTGGACAGCTGTTTCATCCCTGTTGAGGAATCTTCATCATTGCACACGCCCAATTACATCATGAACCACACTTAGTATCCACAGTCTACTTTGTAGCTTGTGCATAATCTGAAAAGCCTTCAATTCCAACTTCTGCCAATTTGCGGTATACAGCCTAAATCATTGTTGAGTATCTGTTCTGATCCTGTACTTGGCAGATCTAAATGGTCACGGTTCCTCGCTCGAATTTAAAGGAAATTTATCCCGTAGTCAGTCACTAGTGAGCACACATATATCGTAAATTGACAGAAGTTAGAGTTGAAGGACTAGTCAGTGGACTGTGTCCCAGTGACTGCATGATCTACAGAGACTCCCAGGTAGTTTCTCAGTGGTTTCCTGAATGATTTCAACGCGCGGTTAGAGGTGTAGCCAAACAGATCCAAGCAAACAAAAATGGGATGATAATTTAGAATACACAGTCGATGAGAATTCCACGATATGGATAAAAAAAACATTATTAAGTTGGATTCAAACTCCTAATCCAAATTGAAAGTAACGAAGGAAACTGCCAATAAGATATCGGAAATACTGGCAACGTCTAAGATTCTTCTCAATTAACATAATTAACTATTTTAGAGAAAATATCTGAAAAATGATGGAATCAGTGGACAGTTCGTGAAGAGGTGGAAGTGTAGCAATGAAAAATTCGGTCACTGAAAATCTATTGGATACTGACCAACGTATAACAACAGCCTCTGGCTGGAAATTATTCACCATACCGCAAATAAATTGCTCAAATGAGAACGTATCCAACTCACTTGTATTGCTGAAGACTCGGCCATCACAAACAAAAAGATGAATATATCTATCTATAGGGGAAAAATCTATTCAAAAGATCCCACCAGCGTGGATTCAACCAATCTATCACAAAGTAGAAAAAGCATATCCATATGTTGGATATAATTAGTAATATCGATAATAACGATTCCAATTATCACTGGTATTATTGAAATCGTACCAATAAACATTCAAAAGAAACTCCTTAACTTAAGTTAAGTTTTACAATAAAATAATAAACTAAAAGCAAACAAAAGTATAGAGCTTCATGATATATAATTAAAAAATTACACCCCACAAGAAAATCAATCAATCTCATGAATTATTCTATTTATGAAAAAATTTGTTTTACCACCTGATATTTAACTATGATTATAATAACAAATAACATTTTACATTCACTTCTATTATTATATCATGTATTCCCATCTTTGATTCAAATCCCTCACTGGATAGAATTTATTAAAGAAAACTATACGTGTACGAATGTACCGCTTGATGATGAATTCTTCGGAAAGAGTCAATTCTCTAAATACAATAAGCGCCAAGAATGTCTTCTCATTTTTCAACAACATTTCTTATATAAAGTAGATTCCCAATGGTTATAACTTGTGAATTGATGAAATTATTCTTATATTCTGGCTTACCAGAAGACTAATTAGACTGACTAGAATGCACTGTATGCTGAATGAGTAAACTATGCACTCAACTGAGTATGAAATCGATTTAGAAGAGACAAATGAACACAAAAATTTCAACATAACTAGCAAACAAACAAACAAATTTAACTTAACTAGATTAACAAGATTACCAAAGGTTAACATCAGCATCACATGGCACACACCACTCAATTTAGATGAAATGAGCGTCACTCAGCTAAAGTTAATGAAATGAGAATAATTTCATCATATTCAACATAGAAGATACCACAGAAAATAGATCAAACAGAGAAAGCCGAAGAAAAGAAGAAAAAGAAATAGTAGTAGTAGTAGGCTGTTAATAAACCGTGAGAAATATTAGGAAGGAAATTTTGTAGCGATCATGGAATTCAGTAGACTAGTTGAAGTTACAAGTAGAGCGATACTTGATTAAATTTTGATACCTGTGGAAAATAGAATGCATTAATCTTTGCAAAAATAACATTATCATGTTCCAAGCTGAGTATCATTTGATTTCAGAAAAATAATGGGAAGTGTCACGTAGAAAATAATTGGAATGTGTGGATGAATGTATGATTCTAACCTTACTGTTCCAAGTGGGGGAAATGAGGCAAGTAACCGTCTTTATATAAAGTCGATGATGCTGTGTTCTGCCTTCGTGCTTGGTGTTATGCGGTTGTGGGTGTGAGTGTGGAGTTACGTAGAGAAAGGAAGCTGATCTATACAGTTGTGAAACTGCATCAATTGAGATGGCCAGAATACGTGTTGGATATGTGAAGATACCCTTTTCATCATGAAACATTGGATTGGATAAGATCTAGGGTACATTAGGACCTTAATATTGCATCAATCTATGAAGTCTTTGACTGTTCCGTTTGAGCTATGCAGTCAAGTGTAGACTGCCTGACTATGGTCCTGATCACTTCATTGCTATCTAAGCATTGATTTTTCTAAGGAAGGCTTCCGCATCCAGCCAGGATTTATAATATACCAATTTGATAAGCTATGCTCGTCTAATAGAACACTTCATCGTTGTGTTAACATCTGTAAAACAATTCACACGGATATTCACTCTTGTATGATCAATGACTGAGAAATGACATGTTTTGGCATATAACCTCATCTCAGAAAACTGTTCAGACATCCTTTGTTTCCAAATGATATCAACTACTCTGTCAGTCAACTGGAACCTTCGACAGTGTTCATACACTCAAGATCGTTTCGTGCCAATAGATCTTGGGTTTCATTCTGGTGCAGTGAGTTCACTTATCTCACAACCAAATTGACCTGCTTGATTTTCAGATGCTTATATTACTTCAAGATACTTGTTTCCTACGAAATTTGTGTGATAAACTCCTTTTGGGTGTTTTGAAAACATTTATTGT